CTTGTTTATCTGGATCACGAAAATCCCAAAAGCACCCAAGTTTCAATATTTACCCGTTGTATACGTAGGATCTGATAACATTTGGTGTGAAGCTTGATGATGGGTTTACACAATGATTGGACAGTTTTGGGTATCCAGAGAAGCGAAGTTAAAGACAGTTGGGATAAGGTGTAGATCCACTCGTATGTCATATTGAATTTGTTGGAGGGGACTAATGACAAATATGGCGTTCAATGAGGATCAATTTCGACAAACTATCTCGGAACATCTACAATCATAGTGGCCTAAGATTACTTGCGAGAAGTACTTACATTGCATGCAGTAAGGTGAGAACTAATACTCTGTGATGTGCTTCCACTGTTACAGGTCACTAGAAAGTGCAGTAATTCCTGTGTGATAACTTCAGGTGTATCATTTCGATAAATGTTGTTTCAAAATCCTTATACCTTTAATCGATGATCTACTAACTTGAGTTTAAGAAAACTGGATCTTAAGGAATTAGATACCTTTGACCACCGATCATCCATCATCAAGTACTAACTCTCTTCAAAGTTCTATTATATGAAAATTTTCGGTGCTCTATTCCTCTCGTTCGTACTGGGAGTCCTAGTTCACTAAAATCATTCTGAAAAAACCTATCATATATCTTTACTACTAATTTCTAGGATACACTGTGTTCATGAGTAAATTAGAAGTAAGCTAATATAAGCCTTGATGAATTTTGACCAGAACGTTGTTAAAATTATGTAAAGATAAAAAGTACTATGTTTACAAATTATTTCGCTTAAAGTAAAACATTCGGTTATTCAGCATCTGAAGCATATTTCAGCAAAATGTTATAATTGTGTATCAATTTTTTTTACATTATTTACCGAAATACACACTAAGTTATTTGTTAATTCATTCTTCTGTAAATTTTCCTAATTTGCACAGTAGTCTATCTATAATTTCTACTTCAATGAAATAGTACTGCACGTTCATAAATAAAATTAACGATCTACCTTAAAATTTTACTATAAGAAGTTATTCACCTTTTAGCAATCTAACTGTATTTGCAATTTTAAGAAGCGGTTCTAGTAAATAATTACGATAATTGTGTTATCCTATCAAATGTTTTGTCAAAGCCTATGCAAGTTAACAAAGTACCTATAACTGTTGGTAGAAACATTGCTGCTTGTTTTTGTAAAAAGAATAAGTTCATTTCACTGAATTAATGTTCAAAATAAACTTAAAAGGGACACCTTGTGACGGAAAGCTGTTTTTTTTAATCAATATCGTGTGGTACAAGTGACATTATACTGATGAAAGTTAATTCACGTCAATATTGATATCTGTAATTACCGATTCTAGCATTAAAAAGTTTTCCTATGGTTTCTGTATGGGATAGAAATGTACGTTTAGTATTCTGTTGTTTACAATAGTTGTTCAACTTGTATTTATTGATTATGGGAACCGCTTTCAAGTATTTTATTCTCGATTATGTTTTTCAACCAACCACTAAGCAATTAAGTAAACAAATCAACTGTTATTGTAGTGCTTTATTTAATAAAATTTCATTGTGGTAAATAACACTAGTAATTGAACTTTTCCCATTTGTTGGCCACAGTTGTTTCATAGATCTAAATTTTAAGCAAAATTTGAATTGCTGAATAGTCGTACTATACGGGCAAAACTGAATATTTTGTCAGGAATTTGTAAAATTATTTAAACTAATTATAAATGACTAGTGTAATACTCGTGATGAGTTGTTACCTTTTTATATCTTGTCAGCTTAATCAACAAGTTTAAATTCCTATTTTTGAGCTTCAGTCTACAAACTTTTAAAATCCAAAACACAACTTACATGGTAAGGTAATAAAAGTATTATTAACAACAAAAGCTCGAATCCTAAATTTATGTGTAAGTAAATTCTCACACTTAAATAATAAGTATTGTACAATCAGTTTACACGATCAGTCATTCAGTCAACTACAACGTAGAACCAGGAACATATATGCATCAGTCCAAGTTTCCACACCTCACTAGTACAACAAGGTAAACATCAAATTCATAGTAGTCAACTCAATGGTAGTAATGTATTAAAAAAGATTGTATATAGGGATATAGTACAGGAAGAAAGAATTAGTTCGTAGAAAGAAAGGTATAAAGCAATTTTAATCACACAGTTTAAGGGAGGACAACGAGTGTATACACCTACACCATTGTGATCGATTCTGAGCCATGTCACTCAGAGTCTGCAACCATTGGTTATGATAGTCACACGGACCCAACCGAGTAGTCTGCATCTATCCACATGGCTCAGACCAAAAGTTAGTGACTTTATAAAATATTGTAAAGCAAAAATAACAAAACGTTCTGAGATAAGGTAAATTTGAGTACATATGTAGATGACTTACAGTATATGAAATGAAATACCAGTACTTCCAGGTTTTCCCTAGTGGTCTAGCGCCAACTGACTCATGATCTCAACCATTGAAATTAATGATTTATTGTTCGTTAATTTAATTTTGTGTGAAAATATCATTACCCTATTTGTAGTTCTATAATGTACAAAAATTATGATGATAATATTTACTGTGATTGTAACATCTTTCTCGTTTACAATTACTGATCTTTTACAGGAATCCTTATCGCAGATAAAATTTAGATACAATTTTTATATTTAAAAAAAAAATAGATGTTTAATTATACTTACTATATACAAGCATTCGATTTATATTAAATGAATTGTCACAACGAATTACGTTTGTATCAATTCTGCTTTAGGGGATACATTTTTGTATCAATTGAAGTAATCCTAAATAGTAAATATTCAGTTTGGGGTTGTGGAGTTTGATTGAAATCGTGAACCGATCAATACCAGATCAGGTTTTCGGTGTTGGTCTAACATTGATCGGTCCATGATTTCAGTGAAATGATAAATAATCGACTAGGCGTAAATCTATTCCTGCACTCATAATTAGCTAAACATTTCATTTCATTATACTGTTAAATCTTTTTTAAAATATTAGAACATAAAAAAGTGTTTGGAAATATTTTCATCGCTTTTAAATTGTTAATTTTTAAATCAGAATTATATTAAATTCACTGTAACAAATATTTAACTGTATACATTTTTCGCTTAAAACAGTCAATCATTCATTGTATAGGAAAACATGTGTAAAAGTATCATCCAGACGAATGAGAAACCAGCTATATTGCTTCCACTATCATCATTCCATTTTTAACAAGAGTATGACTTTTGTTCGATTCTACTTGATGATTTCAAGCATAAGGAATTAGAGAAGAATCTTTTAAGTTCTAGTTCACTGTATTTTTAAAAATACATCTTATTATAATTAGTTTATTGTCATGGTTTTGTGTACCTTTAATGGTATATACAATAAGGAAACTGTTATATTCTTATAACATGGTAAAATTTATTTCTGGTAATAATATGAGTTTTATTGTTTTTATGATACGCTTCATATTACTTATTTTGTGTTGAATATGTGTACTTCATTACATGAATGAACTCTAACTACATTTGATTTTTTCAAAAAATATTACAAAATATTTTTTGGTATAAATATAATTTCAATAGTTGAAATCATGAGTCAATTGAAGCTAGACAACCATGGAAAACCTGGAAGCACTGGACGGCCGTTTCGTCCTAGTACGGGACTCCTCAGCAGTTCGCATCCATGATCCCGCCCTCCGCGGGATTCGAACCTATCAGTCTCGCGCGCGCGAGCGCCTAACCACTAGATCACTGAGCCAGCCGGCGTCCAATAGTGTTAATGTCTAACGTCAACCAATCCACGAAATTGCGCCACCGTACACCATTGTCTTCAGTGAGCTGATATCTCACGCTTCATATTACTTATTTTGTGTTAAATATGTGCATTTCATTAGATGAATTAACTTTAACTACATTTGATTTTAAAAAGTTTTTTCAAATATTTGTTCTTTGTATAATTTATGATAAATACATAATTCTTCAGACAATTTTTGTTTTAATTAAGTTACTGTGACACTTTTATGTTTCATTATACTACTAAGAATGCGTTAGTAGATAGTTTCCTATCATGGTAATTTTATTATCTTTATACATTTTTCAAGATTGTTAGGCTACCTGAATCTACTGATTTAATTGGTGGAGGTATCATTGCCGTTTTGAATAACGTCATTATCTGTGTTCTAGTAATCTCCAGTATTTCAGGATGTACACGTATACCTTGTGCATTGGTTAGACTTGTCTAAAACAAAACTTAAATTCGTCTATTTTTTCATGTTGTATATAGAGTTTTCTACATTCAATGAGTTGTAAAGTGATTATTAAAGCGTGGTATTTTCTGTTACTAATAACTTTTTACTAGTTATTGGTCTTTCTTGGTATATAAACTGAGTGAATTTTACTGTTCTCAAAATTGGGTAGATTGTTTGTAGTGACGTGCAATGAAATGCTAACAAAAATTGATCATCCCGATATATTTGTATTAACTTGATTGTGTCAACCCATAACGGAAACTAATGTATCATACTAATAATTAACACTCGGATCGATCATTATAATGGTTTTATTGTCATGTTTCAGATTATTCACCATATAAGTTCTAAATAGCATGAAACGTATACTCTTTGGCCTACACTAATAAAAATACAATACGGTAGTAAAATTGATATAAATATAAACTGATTAGTAGATTACTCTATTTGCAACAACACGATGCTATTAGGTTTGATTTTCAGACTAGATTATGAAAATTTTAATGATTATTTGACTACAAAAATCTTTGTTATTTGTTATCCATATTACATAATTTTGTTCAGAACTATATTGTCCTAATATTGTAGATTCAGTTCATAGTAAGACCATTTAATCTCGTCCATGTGTTCATTTTTCATTGGCTTACAGAAATAGCCTGAATTTAATTTACTTTCTGCTTATTGGTCAGTTAATTATATATATATATATATATATATATATATATATATATATATATATAAGGCTTAATTTTGTTATCGTATTCAGATTCGTGTGAATGCAGAAAGGCAATAAAGGAGTTGTACTGGTAACCGGTGGTTCCGGGTTCATTGGAAGTCATACAATTGTAGAACTAGTCAATAATGGTTATTCAGTTATCACTTTGGATAACCTAAGTAATTCCAGTATTAGTAAGTTTTTGCTTTTTATATCCATGTTATACTTGAATTCTTCACTGCTAAACTTGGAGTTATGTGTTAATTGTTGAATATTAATTAGCAAGTGATATACATGTCCAGTACTTAGCTTGTCGCCTACTCTTTTTAATCAATTACTTTTTTTATTCGTAAATTCTACAATCTATTTTTCTTATTCTATGCATTAAGAAATGTAGAGTTGTTATTCTTCATTGTTTACCAATGGAAGCATTAGGTCAAAACCATTAGAATTGTTTTATTTGCAATTATTAGTGTCATTTTCAGAATTGCTGTGTGATACACCATCATAGAAACTACTATGGAGGACAACTGGAAAGGCATCAAAGAAGCATTAACTTCAACGTGTCAAGATGTTCTAGGCCTAAAGAAACACCACCATAAGGAATAGATCTCTATAGAAACACTGGACAACATCAAAGAAAGGAAGAACGAGAAGACAGCAATTAACAACAGCCGAACACGGGCAGAAACTCCGCCTGTAGCTCTTATAGGGTTGCTGCCGGTCCCAAGCCCGGGTAAAGGAGGAGGGTTGGGCATGGGGTTAGCGTCCCCATCCCGTAGAAAACTAACTCGCTAAAAAAACGCTTACCAGAAAAAATAATCCAAACCATTTTAACTCTGCCCTGGGAGTTAGAAGGTCTTCATTTAGAAGAATTATGACGCTTCATGGTGAAAGCCGAGTTCCTTCGGAAGCCACGAGGCCGATGTCCCTTCTAACAACCAGAGCAAAAATTTTTATAGGTACATGGAACGTTCGAACAATGTGGGAAACCGGGAAGACCAGTCAAATATCAATGGAAATGAGGAGATACAACTTAGCAGTACTGGGAATCAGCGAAACCCACTGGACCCAAGCTGGACAGAAAAGGCTAGCTACGGCAGAGATGCTGCTATACTCCGGTCACGAAGAGGACAATGCTTCACACACTCAGGGAGTCGCTCTTATGCTGTCCAAAGTAGCACGAAATGCACTTGTAGGATGGGAATCTCACGGATCCAGAATCATCAAAGCATCATTCAAAACAAAGAAGGAGGGGATCTTAATGAATATTATTCAATGTTATGCACCCACCAATGATAGCAACGACGAAATTAAAGATCAGTTCTACGAGCGGCTGCAGTCAATCATTGAGAAATGCCCAAGGAAGGACCTAACTATTCTGATGGGAGATCTAAATGCTAAAGTCGGAATAGACAACACTGGATATGAAGATATTATGGGACGACATGGACTGGGAGAAAGAAACGAAAATGGAGAAAGATTTGCAAATCTATGTGCATTCAGCAAATTGGTCATAGGAGGCACAATATTTCCACACAAGCGTATACACAAGGCTACATGGATCTCACCGGACCACACTACAGAGAACCAAATAGATCATATTTGCATCAATAAAAAATTCCGAAGGACAATGGAAGATGTGAGAACCAGGAGAGGTGCTGACGTAGCTTCAGATCACCACCTAGTTGTAGCCAATTTAAAACTGAAGCTAAAAAAGAACTGGACGGGTGGACAAACAGCAATACAAAGGTTCAATACAGCCTTCCTTCGAGATACTGTCAAACTCAATGAATTCAAGATAGCTCTCAACAACAGGTTCCAAGCCTTACGAGATCTACTGAAAGAAGAAGAAACTACTATGGAGGACAACTGGAAAGGCATCAAGGAAGCATTAACTTCAACGTGTCAAGAGGTTCTCGGTCTAAAGAAATACCATCATAAGGAATGGATCTCTACAGAAACAGTGGACAAGATCAAAGAAAAGAAGAACAAGAAGGTAGCAATAAACAACAGCCGAACACGAGCAGAGAAATCCAAGCACAAGCTGAATACATAGAAGCAAACAAACAAGTGAAGAGGAGCATTAGAGCCGACAAGAAGAAGTACTTGGAAGAACTAGCAACGACGGCAGAAAAAGCTGCTAGAGAAGGAAATATGAAACAGCTTCACGATACAACGAAGAAACTAGCAGGGAAATACAGTAAACCAGAGAGGCCGGTCAAAGACAAAGAAGGCAAGCCAATCACCGAAATTCAACAACAACGTAACAAATGGGTAGAATACTTCGAGGAACTCCTGAATAGGCCGGCTCCAATGAATCCACCGGATATCGAAGCAGAACACACACATCTTCCTATGGATGTCAATCCACCAACTACGGAAGAAATTAGAATGGCCGTCAGACAAGTCAAGAACGGGAAAGCAGCGGGACCCGACAACATACCAGCTGAAGCACTGAAATCAGACATCGAAACAACCACAAGCATGCTTTACCCTCTATTTAAAAAGATTTGGGAGGAGGAACAAGTGCCGATGGACTGGAAAGAAGGACACCTCGTCAAGATTCCAAAGAAAGGAGATCTGAGCAAATGTGAAAACTACAGAGGCATTACACTACTGTCAATACCAGGGAAGGTCTTCAACAGAGTGTTGCTGAGCCGGAAGAAAGACTCAGTAGACGCCTTACTTCGAGATCAACAGGCAAGATTCCGCAAGGATCGGTCGTGCACAGACCAAACTGCAACACTACGGATCATCGTCGAACAATCAGTTGAGTGGAACTCAACACTGTACATCAACTTCATTGATCATGAAAAGGCATTTGACAGTGTGGATATAAGTACATTATGGAAACTTCTCCGACACTACGGAGTTCCTGAGAAGATTGTCAATATTATCCGGAACTCATACGACGGACTACAATGCAAAGTCGTGCATGGAGGACAGCTGACAGATGCATTCCAAGTAAGGACCGGAGTCAGACAAGGCTGTCTAATCTCTCCCTTCCTCTTTCTTCTGGTGGTCGACTGGATTATGAGGACCTCGACATCTGAAAGAAAACACGGAATACAATGGACAGCTCAGAATCAATTAGACGATTTGGACTTCGCAGATGACCTAACTCTCCCATCGCATAAACACGAAATAATGCAGATAAGGACAGTCAGTGTAGCAGCAGTCTCTGCATCAGTAGGCCTCAACATACACAAGGGGAAAACCAAGGTCCTCAAATTCAAAGTGGAGATCAGCAATCCATTCACTCTTGATGGCGAAACTCTGGAAGATGTAGAATCCTCCACATACCTGGGAAGCATCATCGATGAACAAGGAGGACCATATGCAGACGTAAAGGGGAGGATTGGCAAAGCAAGGGTCGCATTCCTACAATTGAAGAACATATGGAACTCAAAACAACTGTCAACCAATATGAAAGTGAGAATCTTCAATACGAATTTCAAGGCAGTTCTACTGTATGTACGGAGCTGAAACTTGGAGAACTACAACAACCACCATCAAGAAGGTACTGGTATTTATAAATAGCTGTCTACACAAGGTACTCAATATCCATTGGCCGGATACCATCAGCAATAGCCTTCTGTGGGAGAGAACAAACCAGCTTCCAGCTGAAGAAGAAATTAGGAAAAGATGATTGAAATGGATAGGACGCACATTGAGGAAATCATCAAACTGCATCACGAGACAAGCCGTAACTTGTAATCCTGAAGGGAAGCGGAAAAGAGGAAGGCCGAAGAACACGTTACGTCGGGAAATGGAATCAGATATGAAAAGGATGAATAACAACTGGAAGGAGCTGGAAAGGATTTCCCAGGACAGGGTTGGCGAATGCTGGTGAGCGGCCTATGCTCCCTCATGAGAAGTAGCAGGTGTAAGTAAGTAAACACCATCATAGAGCTAAGTACTAGGTCACAATTATCGACTTGGGCTAGGTGTATTAAGGTTAATTTCATAAGGTAGCATAATTAACGGTAGTGTTTCTGAGATATTTATCGGTCTACTAGGAAATCAGAATGTGAATCCTTTGACGAAGTTGTTATAACAAAAGATTTAATTTTGATTCCCATAACTGCACTTAGATATATCGTATGGTAGTTAAGTTTTATTGCCAACTTATACGGAGACCGAATGAGACAAAATGCTACTCCACAACGTAATGGGTGAATGTCGCACTGGTCCGTTGTTAGCATACTTTTTCACGATTCTCTGAATCTGTGTCGGGAATTTATTGAATGCCAAACTAGGGTTATTCGTGGAATTTTTCAAAGTGGTTAACATGCCCAACTAGTTCGCTTTATATTTCAAAATTCTGTGGAAATAGAGTATATTTCTGGCACTTCATGCGTTAAATTGGTGCAAAATGCATAATTTTTTTGCCTCAAAGACTGTATACCTTAATGATATTTTCAGCTAACAAACAACATCTCTACGACAGGTCATACATATCAATTGTTTCAGTGTGCTTCATATTACTTTTAATACAAACATGGTTCTTCATAGTTTGGAATTTTTGGTTTAAATCTATTTCTTAATTTAGTTCATTTTTTTACGATATTACGGTGAATCATTTAATATGGCTGTGAACGTTTAGCGATCAACAAGATTAAAACATGGTACACCTATACAACACTATTACCGTTGCGTTCGATGCTGGTTGATTTAATCGACTGAATAATGGTTTTGGGAGGCCAAATAAAGCATCAATGTCAGTTCATTGACTGTTCATTTGAGCCATTCTGTAAGATATAAACTTGAGAGTCCACATTATAGTTCCAAGCAATAGATGAGAACATTAGATGAAAGGGTTAAAAACCAGTGACAATAATGTATTTGTATTGTCTCCTTATATTTTAACTCTTGAGTTCGGCTATTACTCAATATTATTGGCTGCTTCATTTGAATTATTCTGTACAAACCACATTCTTTCTGTTCAGTACTCACAAACATTGATGTTATTAGTTCGATTTTTGAAGCAACTTATACCGATTCATTTTTATGTCTGAGTTTTTCGCTATTGTTAACCGACTTATTCTTATTGTTATTCAAATATTGAATGAATGAATTTTTTTCAGATTATGTTATTTCAATGAATATCTTATTTTAATTTACAGAATGTATAGAACGTATTGAAAAAATAATTAATGAAAAATTACTTTTCTATGAAGTGAACTTATTAGATAAAAAAGCTGTGGATGATATCTTTGAAAAAGTATGTTCATTCATCTACCTATATGGTCCTTCTTTTGATAATTGTTTTATAAAAACAAAGCAACACTAAACATTACTTGCAAAAATGATAATCCTACTAGATTTATGAAAATATCATGATATTGAGCAATTTATCTAACATATAAGTCAGTTTTTGCGAAGTTTTATTCTTAGACAAAGTTTTAATGAGTTTACTTATTACCATTTGATTAAAATGTCAAATTGTACTATGTAAGTTTAACAATACAATAAGAATCTGTGAACATTAAAGATCAACCATGTTAGTTGTGAGACACTTACTCACTAATGATGCTGAAAGTTGATTGCACAGTATCATGAAGTGAGTACAGTTAGAAATACAAATCATTGGATTCTAACTCAGTATTTTAAAGATTAAGCGCTTACAGTAAGACTTAAAGATTATGGATTTAATTTTCTATGAAGAATGATATCAATTGAAAGACAAGAAATATTACAATGACTGTTGTTCCTTAGTTTTATAGTCTTCATTACTGTACAACCAATACGAAAATAGGAACCATCATCATGAATGAACAATACTTCCAATTTGGTTCTTAGTAACCTGATAATCTTTTTTTAAGACTAATCGAATAAATGTGTTTCTAGGTAAATTTGTCGACCTTTTTCGCTGAGATATTCTTCTTATTAATATTGATATATCAGTCTATTTATGAGGAGAAAAAGATGTTCACTATTCACTGTCCGTTCACTATTTTTTTATAATTTCAGCATAAAATTGATTATGTCATACACTTTGCCGCTTTGAAATCCGTATCTGAATCAATTGAAAAGCCTATACAATATTACAACAATAATTTAGTGGGTATATTAAATTTATTGCAGGTTAGTCAAATTAGACATTATTATTATTATTGGTGATGCTACAAGTAGACGATTGAAAATCGTGATGACTATAATTTATAAACGACCTTTGAGCGACGCCAGTGACCTTGAGGATGCCCACTTACTGACTAGGACTAAATGAGGGTAATAAAGCAATTTGAGAAATTAGAATTATGATTTACAGTTTATGATTAGGGTCAGGAACTAGATTTAGGGTTTTCATCACGAGCTGACACCAGCTAAAAGACAAAAACGCTATTTAGCCAAAGGGATGAATGGATTTCGCGCCTGCTATCTTACATCGGACTGATTCGTCCATAAATTATAGTCTCACCAAAATTGTTGATCAACAATTAACCCATCAACATAATCAGATTCATACATTTGATATTTCTATAAGTGTTTTCTTTTTGTGAAATGACACTTATAACTTGACTTGTTGTTCGAATATCACTGTAATGTATAAAATAATGTGTATATCATATAATCTCTAGTCTTTTAGTATGCTACTTTTTTGTTCGCTAATTTTCTATACATTGTAGAGTTTAATTGAAGTGAATACAATTTATTAAATTTAATAGATATAAACAGATTTTTCATTTATATACATATATCTTATAGCTTGTAAATACATTCTATGATTAGTATCAAGTTACGTTTGCAGGACGACACCATTGGATACAATAAATCTTTTCTTGCTTGTCTCCAGCTATTTCAAAAGACAAATCTTGTAAATAAGATTTACTAGAGAGACTAAATATAGTTAATTCAACTGTATTTCGATTAAGTCCAATGATTATTAACTAACGAAATTATCAATTGAGCAATCGTCACTTTAGCCAAATTCACATTAAATTAATCAACACAATGAAAATACATTGAAAGTTGGTTAACCAACTTGATACTGAATGATCTAATACAATCGAAAATTTACTGGAAATAAATTAATTGATATTAATGTGTAAGAATCACTTTACTTCAACTTAGAAATTTTACGATTGGTTTTTCCGTCATACCTTGTTTTAAAGGATTAGCACCCCCAACCCGTCACCATGACTAGGGATTCGAATCTCTAGAAATATATATATAGTCTGTGGTCTTCAAGTCTGTTAGCAAGCATATTGTCACTGTGAATTGACTCATTAGGTTAGAACCATTCTGTAAAAATTATTAATCACATATAGTTTTGAGACTTGAAAATAGTCGAGTGTGTAATGAATCATACATCAGATCAATTGAATCTTGTCAGATTCTGGTGTACCACTCAAAATTGTACATTTTGTATAAACAGGGAATTCGTAACGTTTTTAGGGGTGTTTTGTTCCCTGAGTTATTTGGTTCAGTCGCAAAGCTTTCATTGCCTTTCTTAACAAAATCATCAGCGCATATCTTAATAATAAGCGGGTTATCAGAATTTCTCCACAATTGACTAGCCACTTGTTTTACCGATATAGAATGCGATTGATTGTTGTCTATAGGCGTGCGACCGCTGTTTGCATGTTTGCAGTGTCTCCACCTCTGACCATGTAGTCGTTTATCCTTTTTTGTTATTGGTTGGTAGACTGGATCAATCTCCATATGTCTGTCGGTCAGCGCGTTGCTAGAGAACTGTTTAGTTTTCTTCCTGTTTCACCCACCCAGTATTCCAACGTTTTCTCAACCGAAATCATGTCTATAGTTGTTCACTGTCTCTGAAGTTGTAAACTATGATAGCATCGACCGACGTTTTTTGTTTATTACTATCATGACTCATGTGAATAACCGTAAACATTTTCAAACTGGTACAACAACATCATTGTGTTACCATTATGTAATTTAGAATTATTTCCCGTAAAATTTCTTACTCTCGAATGTTAGAATACAGATTAATTTATTCCGCATAAAAATATCAGTATTTAAAGTGATGATCATTACCACTTAGAGGATAGTCTGTGATTTATCTTGGGAACTGCTGTTACTTTATTAAATCTACCGTACCGTTTATGTTGCTTAAAATAATTCCAAACATAAATATCTCTCTTTATATGGGGTCTTGTAGAGATTATATATCTCAAAATGGATACTTGGAGTTAGCGTTTATTTTGTAGTTATAGTTATACTTATAAACTAATTGTGTTTAGTTACAGTACTACTTAGAAATAGGATTTTCTTTGTTTTTAAGTAAACATCATTGTTGTATATGTATAATTTAACAATTAACTTATAAATTTAATTTAATTATAAATAGGGAAATTGTGACGATACAATTAATAATATATTAACGTATTGCCTACAAATTCTCTATATTTCAATCATTAGTCGATTGAAACCATAGTTAATCTATCAGTCAGTTGAAGTTGTATTTTAAGTGTAATGAAATGCGAAATATCTGGTTGATCGCATTGAACATAACACAAACAAAAACAAATAATCATGAAATATTGAAATTGTACAATAATTTAATGATTTATGTATTTATAAATTGGAAAATAAAACATTCACATGGAAGATGAACTTTCATTTGTGATATTCAGTTAATTTATTGATTTTCAATTTGTCTATTAAGAAAATACAGTTTAGATTTTCACTTAATCGACTGACTATATAGTTAAGTACATCATATAGATGACCCGAATTATGATAATTGATTTAGAATATGGCTATATCATAGAATGTTGCTTATCATTTAGAAAATCATTCATTTTTTACATGATCTGGGTGCATTTACTAGTCAGTTTTTGGCCATTAAACTTTATAATTAGTTACTAAAGTAAAGTAAAATCATTATTAGTCAGTGGTAAATCAATCTATTAGAAAAACAACCATTAGAACACAATGAAGGAGTGGACAACTCTATTATCCTAGTATATGACTCTTTAGCAGTGGCGATCTTGCATTTCTAGTGAGAAGTTGTGACCAATGGAGTTGAGTCATATCGAATATAAGGCAGTTAGTCACTAATATCATTAGATGGTTGGATTGTACCAATAATTGATTCAAGTCAGAAACAAAAACCATTGGGTTCAAACTCAATTGTTTAGAAGTTAATTACCCATTGTGAATTCTCAAAAAGATCATCAGTAGGCTATTAGATACACACTGCCGAGGAGTCCTATCCTAAAACGAAGCGACTCTTGAGTTATTGTTAGTTTTCGCTGTTTTTTTTAAAAAAAAACTAAATTCAGTCTGTGATATAAAGTCTAAAATTTGACAGCCTCTACAAACACTATGCTAATAATCACGCATTAATATCTTGTGTATATATTTTTTTATTTAAAGAAAGGATTGAGGGCATAGAACTTCATTTTGTTCATCATTACTTGTATATTGTATGCGTACGATACATAAATTAGACAAAGTATAGGATATCTACTTTGTTATACTCTTATGAATATTGAAATTTTTTATACTGCACGTACTCTACTAGCTTCTAACTATCTGTCTAAGTGGTTTTAATTTTTTTTCCGACTGATTAATTAGTAGATAATTTCACACTGAACTGTTTGATAATCTTGTTTATGTTTCTTTTGATTGGGATTGTTTAAATGATAAATTTCCCTTATGAAATTCAGTAGTTGCTCAGTTTATTATGTAATGCATAGAAAGTATACATTCTATCTGATACAGACAGCATAATGATGCTTTTATCAAGGAGTATTTTTCTACCGGAATTAAACAACCACGCTATCAAAATAATCATATTTTGGGAGAACTAAGTCCAAATTGAAGCATATAATGTGTTTATTGGCTGATGACATTACCATAAAAACAATTAAAAGAGAATACTCTTCTTATCCATTATATAGAAAATACAGACCGTTATATTTTTAGAGTTGCCTATGCTTCATCAGTGAAGTATTTTGAAAGTTATTTCAATCTGAAAATGGTCTTCTTCACAAGGCGAGATCTTTCAAAGGATGGGAGCTTTGTTGTTTTTAATGTCATCTGACACGAGGTTCTTGAAGGTATGTATTTACAATTTCAGCTTGTTCGTGTATTTAGTTTAGTGGTTACTTCATTATCACTTGGAAAAGCACTTCATCTCCATGTTTCATTTCTAAAACAAATAACTCTAATGAAACGGTGATAATTGATTTCAACCTCCCTTTTTATGATTTTAATGAAATAAAATCTTTTAAATTATTTCCCATTCAGGTGATGATTGCGCATAATGTTAAAAATTTTGTTCTGTCCAGTTCTGCTACTGTCTATGGTGAGCCTCAGTTTTTACCACTTACGGAAAAACATCCAATTGGAAATTGTCAAAATTCATATGGTAATACAAAACTTTGTTGTGAATTAATCTTGAAGGTAAATCAAATAGTAATATTACTAATACTAGTAATAATAATAGTTCTTGTTAATGCATTAACCGTAAAATTAGATTTAAAAAACCAGATCCTTTAATAAATTTAAACAGGGCAAGAACAACAAGGTTTGCAGAATAAAACAAATTCCTTCTATTTCACGGTTTCTCACCAGCTGCATACAATCTAAAATTACAATTAATAATATGAATATAATTATTAACAAATGTTCAGATAAATGTTTGGAAAGTAACCAAAATTATAATAATGGTATGAAGAATACCATTCAAAGGTAGACCAATACATTTCCGACATCACCTCCAATCGCGTTTATGAATTTACATATACCTGCTGTAGCAAGTACATAGGAAGGACAGAGAGAAGAGCCTTTACAACATTTTCTAGACACATTCCTAGGAACCTACGGCTAAAAAGGAGTAACTTCTTTACACGTGCAAGTGCCAGACGTCTCGATACTGGATATGAAGTGAATGTAAGTGATGTATTCAAAATCATTAGCAGACAAAAACCAATGTCACTCCGTATCGTAGAGACGATCGCTAACAAATGTTTCTGACCTGACCTATGTGCATACAAAGAAAGTTTGGTTAACCTTCTCCTTCCATGATGATTCAATATTTGTTTAAGAACTTTTGTTAATTTTAATTTTTTTCTTTTCAACCTTTTTGTTTTCATCATTCTTTCGTTTTCTGCTATTTATCTCTTACATAATCTGACTGATGTTCACATATTTGTTTATTTTGTCATGTTGAGTGATTACCCAATCACTTAGTAATTTCATTATCGTTACATAACCTTTTAATGATTAATTCCCAGCGTCTAAATACACATCGATGTTACCTATGTTTATTCATACACTTTGTATCCCTACTTTTCGAATATTTATCTAAACTTCACAGACATGAATATGCCAAACATTTGTTAATAATTATATTTATATTAGTAATTCTGAGGACAGCTGACAGATGCATTCCATGTAAGGACCGGAGTCAGACAAGGCTGTCTAATCTCTCCCTTCCTCTTTCTTCTGGTGGTCGACTGGATTATGAAGACCTCGACATCTGAGGGAAAACGCGGAATACAATTGACAGCTCAGAATCAATTAGACGATTTGGACATTGCAGACTTTGCAGACCTAGCCCTCCTATCGCGTACACACGAACAAATGCAGATAAGGACAGGCAGTGTAGCAGCACTCTCTGCATCAGTAGGCCTCAGCATACACAAAGGGAAAACCAAGGTCCTCAAATTCAAAGTGGATAACAGTAATCCAATCACTCTTGATGGCGAAACTATGAGAGATGTAGAATCCTTCACATACCTGGGAAGCATCATCGATGAACAAGGAGGCTCAGATGCAAACGTAAAGGCGAGGACTGGCAAACCAAGGGTCGCATTCCTACAATTGAAGAACATATGGAACTCAAAACAACTTTCAACCAATATCAAAGTGAGAATCTTCAATACGAATGTCAAGGCAGTTCTACTGTATGGAGCTGAAACTTGGAGAACTACAACAACCACCATCAAGAAGGTACTGGTATTTATAAATAGCTGTCTACACAAGGTACTCAATATCCATTGGCCGGATACCATCAGCAATAGCCTTCTGTGGGAGAGAACAAACCAGCTTCCAGCTGAAGAAGAAATTAGGAAAAGATGATGGAAATGGATAGGACACACATTGAGGAAATCGTCAAACTGCATCACGAGACAAGCCGTAACTTGTAATCCTGAAGGGAAGCGGAAAAGAGGAAGGCCGAAGAACACGTTACGTCGGGAAATGGAATCAGGTATGAAAAGGATGAATAACAACTGGAAGGAGCTGGAAAGGATTTCCCAGTACAGGGTTGGATGGAGAATGCTAATGAGCAGCCTATGCTACCTCACGAGGAGTAACAAGCGTAAAGAAGTCGTAATTCTAGGTTGTGTACAGCTTATAAGAAACCGTGAAATAGACTGACGAATTTATTTTAGTCTACAAACCTTGTTGCTCTTGGATTTAGTTTTATTCATATCTTTCTAGTTGAATTTCTCTGAATTATAGCGGATAATTTTTAGTGTTCTCGATGAAACTTGTGAATGTCGTTCGGAAATCGTTAAACTAACTTAAGTCTCAAAGTGATTAATGCACAATCTAATTTTTAATTAAAACTAATATATGTATTTAAAGTGACCGGTAGATTTGATTTGTTTCTGATAATTTTAATATAAACGATGACTTTTTAAGAAAAAAATGTTGAATTCATCAATTTTATTCAACATATTTCTAAGGTACTTGTACCATTTTTTTAAAGCTTGTTTTGATCAAAATCTGTAATTAGTTCTATATCTGAATAAAATATAGCGTTTATAATGACCAAAATATGGTGACTTTATTATATTGACTGTAAATTGAACTAATCAATGATCAGCCAATCCTAGTTGTAATAGTAGTACTGGTAACCGTAAAATTCATAATAGAAAATCAATCAAAGTTAGTACATAATAAGTAATAGAAAATCTCGTGTCAGGATAAACTCAATACACATATACCTCTGATTTTATTTGACGTGTTACAACTGTATGTGTTACGTGAATAATTTAAAGCTATTATGGTTTAATATTTTAGTGTTTATATGTTTATGGTAATGAGTTATCGATTTCACCTTATTATTAATTGGACTGAACACAATTAATGCCTCCTTTTACATTCTTTATAACTAAATAATGTTTTTGTTCGTTTGTTAAACTCCATAAAATCTTCATTAATTTTTCATCTAAATTGACCATTATTTCCAATTACTAATAATTAAATACAGTGACATCTATAGGGTATACTTATTCTTTCCAAATGATATGTCTTACTCTTAATTAATTCCTAATTTTGTATACTCTTCATTGAATACTGTTCCTGTTAAGGATTTATATACGTCTGATCCTACATGGAATATTATAAGTCTACGGTATTTTAATCCGGTTGGTGCGCATGCCAGTGGATTGATTGGTGAAGATCCACGAGGAATTCCAAATAATCTCATGCCTTATGTGACTCAAGTAGCCAGTGGTTTATTACCTTACGTAAATGTGTATGGAAACGATTATCCAACAGTCGATGGGACAGGTTAGTATCCAGAATTTATTCGTGGACTGATATTTTTATGTAAAAAAGGTTATTTGTTTCTTTTTATTGCACTCACCACTTTAGAAGCCATTGAAGATATGCAGATAGTAAAAATAGCATTTTTGAATGTTTATTCTCAAAACAGATGTGTAATTGGTCTAACTCTTTTGGCAAATGAACACCCTGAAGAGATCATCTCAACATTACCATTAAGTCATAGTAATTTTTAGGCAAAGTTGAATAATGGACAGTATTATATTTATGTATACAGTGAGTAGAGTGTAAACAATATTATTCACGTAGTAATAGATATAAAGAATGTGAAGGGAAACCAAATAGATATTGTCACTAACAAATTATTATCATTTATGAAGAATTAAAGTTTCGTTGGGACCACAATGATATGAGATGTTGAAAATGTGGCTTTCCTACACGATGTGAAAGTCTAAACGTTAAAAACCTGAATATCTTTCAAAGACAGTATCATAGTGAAAAGTAAAGTTTTTAATCACCTCATTTTACTCACTTTTTCATCTTCATAACTTTATTGTTGTTACTTTTTTTCCAAAATATTTCAATGAAACTGTTCGATACACTGAAATTATTGGAATTGTTGTTAATATCTTTGGTTATTTTAAAAGTAATGATCGAATTAGTTCATAATGTTTAACATTATTATTTCTCTTTTCACACCGTTGTCTAGGTGTTCGAGATTATATTCACGTTGTTGATCTAGCTGAAGCCCATACTAAATCATTGGATAAAATCAAACAGAATTGTGGTTTCAAGGTATTTATTTCTCTTTTTTATTAAAAATTGAATATGTATACGTGTATGTTAAATAAGGTTTGGTTTGATATTGATAATTTAATATTGTTTCTTTGATATAATATCAAATACAATTTTTATTCACAAATTTACTCATAAATTCCTTTATACTTATAATCCTTACTGGATAACTCAATCAAATAGCTTTAAATAAAATGTTTTATGCATAAAAATGGAAGATATTCAGTTGTAAGCGGTTAGACATTTAAGACATATCAATAGGGGCACATCTTCATCATTACTGTTGACTTTGAACCATTTCAATTAAACTTTAACCGCTAAATACAATTTTATCCTATACAATCTAGCCAATAAAATTTCACCTCTTTTTACGGGATTTTACTAGCTGACTTCATATATTGATACCATGCTTTAATCCGGTTAATTTCTGCATTTGTCTAGACTATCCGTACTCTCCCTTTCCAATTTGTCGTGGCACAATGGTAAACAATGAACAGACATGTGTAATATATACTGTAGTTTTCTCTGTTGACAAATTTCTATCACCACCTCAATTAATTCTCTTATCTTCATCAAATACTCTACATTTAACTTCAGTAAGAGCTACAGATCATGCATTTCAGAATTCAGGTTATTTACAATTATCAGAAGGGGTTTTGCGGAGATTTTTAGTAATTTCAATAATTGAAATCATGAGTTAATTGAAGCTAGACCACCATAGAAAACCTGGAAGCACTGGATGGCCGTTTCGTCCTAGTATGGGACTCCTCAGCAGTGCGCATCCACGATCCCGCCCCCCCTCCACGATATTCGGACCCAAGACCTATCAGTCTCGCGCGCGAGAGTGCTTAACCACTAGATCACTGAGCCAGCCGGCATCCAACGGTTTTAAAGTCTAACTTCAACAAATTCACGAAGTTGCGGCACAGTACATCATTGTCATCAGTGAGTTGATATCTCACAAAATAACCTGGTTGAACTCCACTGGTAATGGCTTCTACCTAGAATTCCAGGAAATGCCTCTTGAAGTCAGTCACTAGTGAGCAGGCGATTATTATCAGAAGGGGTTTTGTGAAGATTTTTAGAAATTTCAATAGTTGGAATCATGAATCAATTGAAGCTAGACGGCCATTGACAAAAAAGACTGTTAAGGTTACTGATTATCATTATTTTTAAACATACCGAAAATTAAACATGACAATATTAAACTATTTCTAATTTAGTATGTGATAAATATTTTTGGCATTTGTATAGTCGAATATTATAAATATTGCAAACTTGTACTATTAATATGTGATAGTCTAGTTTCCTATGACTTTTTGTTATATCAATAAAAAACTTTTTATGTGAACTAATCTGTACGGATTCAAATGACATCCTATCTTGTGTACAGTTTAACTGTAATGATCCCGAACTATAGCGTAATAAAACATTCTTCACAACCGATGTACATTTATTTATTTATTTATTTCAACACATAAATATTGGTACAAGAGGGCACCAAATATATATGCGCCACACCATATTTGTGTGTGTGGGGGCTGTAATACTGCCCGGGTGCCCAAACTGAAGCAGGTGCTTTTCTTACGGGTCCACACCCTCGATGTATATTTAAGTTTATTCAAATAAAGTTCTTTCATACAGTCTTTAGTTATTTGGTGATAAATGTCTTTTTTATAAATTTTTTGAAAACAACTAGCAAACCTTATTTTATCAAATTCAAACTATACGCTTTGCTCAAAAATTTCTCGTGTACTATTTACCTAGTATAACAAGACTCAAGTACATTAGAATCCATACTCACTAAGACTGAAATATAAAAACGTTACGATACTTTATATAGCAAATGTTTACTATGCAATAGGAACTTTATGAAATTAGATTTAGGCGTAAAGTTTTGTGGTTAAAGATGCATACCTGTGAATCATTCTGGTAAAGAATCTCTAGTTTTTATTGAATATATATATATATATTCTACAAGGTTAATAGAAAATGTGATAAACTTATCGACCACGCGACTTAGTTACTAGAAATTAAAAGCGTGAACCACTAAACTACCACTGGATGCATCTAATATTCAATAAAGCAGTTATTATTACTCTTGTGTCTGACGTAACGTTGAGCTATATTTTTTTTCTATATGAATAAATGAAGTTTCAATGAAAGAGACATTTTAAAAATTCATATTTTGAATTACAATTATCTAATGTAAAAGAGTTGAACAATCGTGTTAACGGATCAAATATCATCAATAATCACGTAAGAAAATAAAAACAACTAGTAACATAATTACATAAGAAAAGAAGGATAATGAATTTTCTGAATTAAAGAATAATAAGTCACTTGTAAGTCGCTCTTGTTTATTCCATAAAGTCGTACATGGAAATATTAGGGGTTTGTTGATGATTATATCAAAGAAAGTAGTTATATATATATCCCTTCTCTCGCCGCTCTTCAAATTATATTTATCGTCGTTTTTCCTTACATAAAGTAGCAAATAACATTTATATAATTCTTAGTAACTACTTTTGTTATCCTGTTGCTGATATTCACGACCTACTTTGAACAGTCTTTTTTGACATACTTGCATCCTGTTCAAGCGCTGATTACTTCGGTATATCCATTTTATTACAAGCTATTTTGAATAAATGAGCTATGGCTATTCTAAACCAACCAATCTTATTTAAGAAAATGAATTTATTCAATATTTTGTTACTGTTTTTTTCGTTAGGTTTATAATTTAGGTACAGGGCAAGGATGTTCTGTATTACAAATGATTCAAGCAATGGAAACAGCAAGTGGTAAAACAATTCCTTATACAATATGTTCAAGACGACCTGGTGATTGTGCAACTGTTTATTCAGATGCATCATTAGCTCAACAAGAGTTAGGATGGAAAGCAAAATATAACATTGATGTAAGTGTGATTACGTGTAAAGAATAAAGAAAATAATTTGATTCGGCCAGACTATAATTTATGGACGGACCAATCAAATTTAAGATAAAAAGTCCTGGATTTTTGCTCGAATTTCATTCGTTTATTTGGTCAAATCTCATTTTGGCATTATAGCTGATGTCAGTTCGTAATGAAAATCCTAACTATAATTTCTAATCCTAACTTCTAACTCTAAATCCTGATTCGGATTTCTTACATCAATCTATAACCCTCTTTAAACCCTTATAGGTAGGTGAATTTTCTTAAGGTCACTCTGGCGTCACTCACAAGTTGTCCATAATTATAGTTTCACCATTTATTCTTCCACGTCATAGTCGGCTTTTGCTTACAAAAATCATTCTCAATGGATAAGTTCGGTTGGATTAACAATTGTGTTGTTGACTGCTTTTTTATTTCCGTGACTCTCGCTGAGCTGCTAACCTTCTCTTTAGCGTAAACATCGGTAGAACTTCTCTTCGCTGTTGTATATAAGTGAATCGAACGGGTTAATTTCAATAGGATTTTACATGATAATTTATCGATTAAAACAGTTAAATACTGTAATGAAGCAACTAAAAAAAATCAAAATGCGTTAAGATAGGATGTGGCTAGCAGTTGAATACAGCACGGACGTTTCGTCCTATTCTTGACTCGTCGGTTGGATATGCCTGCATCCCAGAGTTGATGTTCACGCCGAGTCTATATCAAGTTGCATTATATTAAAATGACCTTTTATTGCCTGTGTTGGTTCCACTGACCTACAGCATTCTTGATCGAAACATATTTTCTCTTGCTGATTAAGTCAAATAATTAATGATTAGATTATCTTGTAGTGAACATTTTATGATATAAACTAATAAAAGCCTTATTTCAATCACAGAACTACTGAGATGACATTTCATCGGTTATTTTATGAAACTCACTTGTTAATCAGACAATGATTTTACCTCTGTCGATCGTTTATTTTTTTTCTATAGTGAACTTTAAAAAATATATCATATTTAACATCAACTAATTGTCGTAAAGATGAAAATCTTATTGTTTGTGAACTCTGATTGACAAGTAACTAGAATTTGAGACTAGTAATCAGATATCCAGTTTTCTTTATAGGATTATAAAATTGTTTATTCCGGTTAACGCATTTTGATAAAGTTGTTTTCTACGGGGTGGAGATGCTGAACCCATATTTAAGCCTCCTTCTTTACCCGAACTTGTGACTAATAGTAACCCTAGAAGAGCTACAGGCGGAGTTAGAATTATAAATGGTTTGAATATATTTTTATATTTATTGAAACATTTATTTGGATAACACCAGCAACTTAATGTTATAGCTACTAAATGATACATTCATTTTATATGTGAATGAAGATGTAACCGTTTTAAATGAAAGTATTCTACCTCTTTATACGTCTTGATCTTATACTACTGAATCGAATAATTAATTATTTAGTTCATAATTGTAGTCAGTCATACCATATTTTGATTTACAATATGATGGTTACATCATTACAGTTTTTATTTAGTTAAATACTGTAAGAATCATTGAACAATGATTCATAACCTCATCAATTTCAATTTAGCTTAATATTTAAAACTGGGTTTTTTTTCTAAATAAAACAGTTGACAACCAGAAAACAAGTCCATATATGGTTTCTAAATTAAATCGAACTTTTTTTTCTTTATACTCGAATAGATCATTATTGTGCATTGTTTTAAATATAAACACATTTATAGATAAGACATCAGACTACTGTCTATCGTTGACGGCATGGGTCTAGATAATAATAATAATAATAATAATATTATTATTATTATTATTATTCTTTAAAGAATAAATTATAAATCAACTTAATATATCAACATTTGAAATGATAAAATAAACAGATTAATATTTATTAAATAAAGTGAATTATAAACATCCCATGATAATTAAAACAGATCAAACTATAAAATGTTAAAGTATCATAATCACAGTATATTTGTTCATTGTCGATTTAAGATTTTTTTCTGAAAAAAACTAATATAATTACTGGTTTCATCATATAAAAGTATGTTTTACTAACAATGATAGAGAAATCTATTTAGTATGAGCTGTAGTGTTTGTGATCATGTTAAGCCCATATACCTTATTCTGGCTTTCGGACAGGCCAGTCTACTCATTCTACTAGAGTCATATTTTGACCTTCTTAATTATTCGCTTACCAATCTTGACTGTTTTTATAGGAGCGCATACGTGTGTGTACATTTCTTATCTTTTTCATCACATGTCTGTACCTTATTTTTGTGTGACTATAAATATTGATTAACGCTCGACTAAATAGGAGTTGGCTTACCCGCCATCTCCACTGCGTGTCGTTTGGCTTTTCTCCATTCTATTTACTTCATATACAAAATATATGTATTCAGAAGTCCATTCTCGTTATTTGACTTATTTATTTCCGTTATTGATTAACGCTATTTAAGTCGATGATTATATACGAGGATAAGCGAAATATGTATTTCAATAACAATCATTCATACGATCAAATTGGAGTCAGATCCCGGGCCACTAAAGAGCATTTAATTATCCAAAAATAATCAAATAAATAAGATCTGATTAAAGTTTTAGAATTGATTTACTTTTACAATTAAAGTGGTTTGTTATATAATTCAAACTGGATCAACTTTGAAGTTAGCCTTAGTAAATCTAAAATTGTGGTTTTAGTATATTCATATGTATTTAGTGTTGATTTACTCAAGCTACATTAGTGCCACTCTCAAATCTTGTAGTTTGTTAACTTTTCAGCATTCATTTGTATGTATTCAATCGAAGGAAGTTGTTTTTTTTAATTAACAAGCTTTTTAAGTTAATTAATATAAATTAAAATTGTGTAAATACTCATTGTAATGAAGAGGAAAACTTCTATGTTTATAATAGTTTTTATAGGATTAATTATAAATGATGAATGAGTTTTAAATTGTTAAAGTGAAATGAATAGAATCCTGACTGACAGACAAACATAATGATACAGTATGCGTATGAGACCGAATGATCAACTCAAATCATTGAATAAATAAACACCAGATATAAGACTATTAGTCATAGGAATAAGTTATTTTTTATTGAGTAAAGTAACATGGTTATATGCAAATTATCAACAGATAAATAATGAGTGATATTTGTCATACATGGTTGGAAGAAATCACCTTTCTAGGTCACTCGTTTTTCCCAATAAATTAAGACCCGCTTGCTATACTGAATTCTTCGTTCATGTCAACAGTAAGTTTTTGATCAAATCTTCAAATACTCAACTTGAAATTATTAGGTTGTGAATCAACTTGGAAACGGCCGTCCAGGTTTCCAACGGTGGTCTAAAATCATTCGGTTCATGATCTCAATCAAAAACTTAATAATCTTCACAACCCCTATACTAAAACATGTTTGTTCAGTTATTTTTACTTAACCTCATCTCTTTTATTTTAAACAGAAAATGTGTGAAGATTTATGGAATTGGCAGGTGAAAAATCCACAAGGTTATCTCACTTCAACACATTCTAATAATTGATTGATTTTCTCAGGTTTTACTTAATTTGTGCCTTTTTCTTCATTTTCTATTCATGCAATATCTTTAGTTGCAAAATTGTGTTTCGTATGGGCTTTCTCTTTAATTAATTTTTTTTATAAGGTTCTTTGTATGATGATTTCGCTTAATCTAATATGTGAATAAAGTTTTTCTAATAATACAGTTGGTAGTTTTTAGAGAAATTCATAATAGAAGTAGATATATTATTTGTCACGCATCATAGTAAGTTGAAAAAATTTCTAGTAACCAGTAATTATTGAACAATTTAAAATCTATAGACACCTTGGTGACTTCTGCTATCCACCCTCTAGTGAATTAAAGCTGAAACATTTAAATCTCGTCGAAAATACATCATGCTATTGAAAATTAATCCTGCTGTCGAAATGTATTCATTTCAGGTTTTTTATAATAATAAATATTCATATTGTGCATTGTAATACTATTTCAAATCCAACTTGAATCCAATGGTGTACTGTGTCTTAACTATTCTACACCGAACATTTCTTTGAGGGTAGATTCAGCAGTTCACACGACTTTGCATACAAAATTACCTTTTCTTTTCTGTTTTAACTTTCCATATAAGAGTAAGCGTTTGGGGGGGAGGTCTTAAGTGCAGCTACACAAGTTTCAAGAGTTTACATATGATTCATGAATGCGTATATTTTGGCTAAATAACATATGTCAACTTGAATAAACTGGTGATCTACTTCTTTGTTTAGTGGCTGATAGTAATTCGTCTTAATTTATGTTTGTTTGGAACTGTTACTTTTAGGATGCTGATGTCATAATCATGATTTAATATTGTTAATTTGGGAACTGAAGTTGTGCTGCGGCATCAAACCAGAATTACACCCATAGTTCTTTAATTTTGTTTTCTCACTCAAAAATGTCTGATTTTTTGCACGTTTATACTCGATTTGGTGTTGTCTATTTTTGTCAGATCATAATTTTTAATTCCGGAAGGATTCATGACTTCAGATATGTACTAGTAATAAACGTAGAGAGGTTACTATCACTAGCCTACTCGACAATCAGAAACTGCTATAAAGGATAGTCAAACATGGTCGTAAGAATTTCAGTATTTCGAAATTTATATTGAATCTCAACCTCAATAAATAAGTCAATAGAGTAATGTATAGCAATGATGGATAAAGTATAACTGAGAGTGCTACAATGTGGTTACTTGGAGTTCCGGTATATAGTCCTCGAAACCACGAAAGAGAAGCAAGAAGTTACATATTTGCAAAATTGATGAAAACCATGGGTTTACAGTTGGTGTTTCGTTCTTATATACTGCTCAGAGCAAAACTTGCTGGGAAAATGACTCGTTCTAAACCACTGAATATGTGTGGAAATGTTAGCATCAAAGTTGTGAGACTGTATTGATTTCTCAGAATATAATCAAGATTTAGTCCCTGAATAATGGGACATCTTTGAGTCAATATAGAACAGATTTTAAAATTGGTCATTGTAAACCAAATCTCAAGGACTTTAACATCTTAGTACTCACGGTAACTGCCTCATAACCATTATTTCTCAAGGCACTTCTGAGCAATTAATCCTCAAAGAATACATCTAAGATCACAAGCCGACATAAACTAGACAACTGCTGAAAACAAAGAAGCACCTAAAAGCTTTCTTGACGTAATATACGTCACCCTAGTAGAGCGTGTCTACCGCTTCATCTGGGTGGATGCTGACTCAATTATTTCATTGATAAATACTTTCCGCGGGGTCTAAAAGTTTTTGTTCGATCCTCAATAGGACCAAAGATACCGACTACTAGTGAGTTTCATACGAGGAAGAAGCAATTATTCAAGTTTAGATGAAGGTCTAACTTAGGTCAGTTCATGGTCTCAGTAATATCTAAAAGTCTCCACAAACCCTTTTACTTCTAAAAGAATAGTCGATTCGGGTAATCTCAGTACTTTAATCACGCTTATCAAAAGCAGTTTGTAATATTTACTACATATCAGTTAACTTGGGCGTGTTGAAAGAGGTTTTTATATCTGTCGTGGAAGTTACGTTTCAAGTTTGCTGGTTTAGTTGTCCAGATGCTGTAGTCATTTGAATCTGAATTGAAACATTCTGAATCAAATTAGAATTTTTGCTGGTTTGCTGTTCTCGTATGAACTGGTTATTGAGCATATTTATTACGAATATTTGATACAAAGTACATGCTCCTTTACACAAAATACTTGGATATTTTCGCCGAAACTGTTGACCTTGGACGAGTATTCTTCACTTGGCACATCTCGAAAGACCTTATGATCTATCCACATAAAAATCTATGAGTACTGAAGCTAGTCTAATCATATCCATAGTCTTAGATTGGTAATGTTGCAGTTGAGCTTTCATAACTTTCAGAGACTTTCAACAGAAAGTTCGAAGATACGCTTGTTTTTGTAAAGCTACTCCAAAAATCTTGTATTTAGGAGACATAAATATACACCCTTTTGATGTAGTGGCTTAGCTTTGCTAATCGATCACCTTGATAACCGTTATTATATAAATCCCAATGGTGTTTTAAATCAGAAGGCGATAAGGATCGGCGACTACGGTTTATTAGCGGGTAGCTTAGATAAAAAAGCTACAAGCACATCAAGCAAATTTAAAGCAGAGATGCGAATGTGTGTATGTGAGCAAATACAGAAGTGAATTTATTGTCAAATCGAATAAGGCGCAGCTATGCGAGGCAAAGTCTATTAACGTGATTCGAGTACATGTATAGATGGAGAAGAGGATGATCCATCAGGTGATATTTAAGCTAGAATGAGATGTGTGTAGGCTTTCATGTGATCAAGAGTACACGTTTATGCAGACAAGATATTGATCATAATAGTACGAAGAAATATGAGAACTGTTACTGTTCGAATAACAATGTCTGTTAAGTAAGTTAATAAAAGGTTACCGTCTACGAAATAAATCCTACCAAATAAACATCATTAGCTGATTATCTCAAAACTGGATTGTTTTCATTCTATTATTAGTATTTAAAATGTAGTATCGGTAATGTCAGAAACAACGGAAAACAATTTCAGAACGCTATGAGAATTGGTCGTTTTCCATTTATCGTTTTATAAAGTCTGAACCATTACTACTCACTAGAAGCGTTTATCTGGAAGTCAAATATGAAATGATTTGTGTCAGATATGACAATCTGAAGTCTCACACAAAGCCACACTGAGGTGAAAAAGGTGGATACTTTAAGCTCATGTAATATATTGCTTAGTCGCCGTGATGAACAACAATCTCAGGGTTGCTCGGTCTCGCGTTTGTTTAACAATGATTCTTACTGATTTCGTATTGCGAATACAATAACTTTGGTCGTGCTCATCTAATATTTATTGGTTAAATTGCGTTATTTCTGGGATTCTTAGATTGTACTATAATTTAAATACTCATAATCATCACAAAAATATCTTCAGTTATAGATTTTGAATTTTTTATCACTGAACGTAAACCATCGACACTAGGTCTAGAAATTTTAAGTGACAGCTTTCCACTCGAAATTGTTCCAATGAACTGCTTGATAACTTGCTATTGACGGAATTGAGGTGCAGAAAAATGTAGGAACGACTCCAAAGTCCCTTCTTTCTCATGTAAAAGTATGAAACCCCGAAACCTTGAACACAAAGGCCAATTATACTACTGCTGCAAAGTTAGAAGACCCAAAAAGGAGAGCAAAGAAAGCTACACAGTGCAGATGTATTAGACCTTCCACAAAATAAACAATAATGAAATTTCTTAGACAAAAATGTATTCGTAAAAGATCTCAAACCTTTCCAAATAATCCTTAAAAGCATCGAAATCTGAATGTATGTGCGACCATCCTATCGGGGTGCAAGTGTGGTGATTATGTATGATAATTAGGAGTATTTGAATGACAGTACGAACTAGTAATCCCAGAAATAACCCAATTGAATCAAGAAGTACTAGATAATCACGAACAATTGTACTCTATTTAGAGTCCCAAATCAAGCATTCAACAAGCAAAAGGGATTCTTTGTTTCATACAAGCACCACATTATGTCCGTTTTTTACAACATTTTAAGTTTGTGTAAACGTTGTCATTACATAAAGAAAGCTAAACATAATCGCTTTTCTCTTATATTGAGTGAAGTAATGGACTTCAGTGAGTTCAGCATTTAGAACGCCTTAATTGTTAACCTACTATCATACACAGGGAAGCTTGAGAAATCAGACCTCATCTCTATAATACAGCATATTATGAAGTGATCAGATTTTGATGTACGGAATAACAAAAAATAATTTTGGGCCGGACCTGTCCTCTCTATTTCTTCCTCTCAGATCAGAATAACTCATAGGACATAGAAGGCGTGCACAAGAACGATGAAGGAATAAATTACCTATGACATACAGGTGTTTATACCAACTAATCAATTCTTGGGATTTTTTGCACAAAGATGTGGTATCTGTTTCTTCAATTGACTCATTGAAAAGAAAGATAAACACTAACAGAAGCTTACTGGAAGATCAATAACATAGACCGTAGGCCCACTGCGCCCAATACACAAACACGAATCTGTTTGGAAAATTCGAAGCGGGTTATGTAAACCGTTTGCTACGTGATCGGAAACTGGTGACGTATTGTCTTTGTAATGGTTGACGAAGCTACAAAAAAAACTCTTGCTGCGATTCCACTTCTCAAAACAAGAGCTGGTCCTCTAGATGGAGACATGTGGATACAAAGGCTGAAGGAGGAGTACCAAGCCTTAATAAAATACGTGGAAAATAACAAAGCGGCAGACAACGATTGGTTTCGCATTGAATCAAATCAACTTGGGACTCGTTGGTATGGAAAATGTTGGTAAGCCCATTAGTTTGTGAGTCTTTTTGCAGGTATATACAAGATATGAAGAAGTATGAGTTCGATTTGAACTTCGATATACCTGTTTCATATCCCAGTACTAACCCAGAACTTGCCTTGCCTGAGCTTGATGGAAAAACAGCGAAAATGTATAGGGGCGGAAAAATATGCCTTACGGACCATTTCAAACCCCTTTGGAGTAGGAACGTCCCTAGATTCGGGATCGCACATGCAATAGCACTTGGTTTGGGTCCTTGGTTGGCTGTAGAAATTCCTGATTTGATATCAAAAGGAATTGTTAAACACAGAGATGATCAGTAATATATGTA